ATTAGAATTATTGTTAAAGTTTCAAATTTAAAGTTATGAATCATTGTTTATTATAATATTATATTATTATAAGTTAAATTATAAAAAAAATATAAAAAAAAAATTGATATCTAAATTAGGTTATTACAAACACTCGTGCACACTTTTACCGGAGGATGAGAAGGAGCATCTACGGAAAAAAATAAAAAATAAAATTGAATAGAAGCTCCTCGTACCACACATTATGCTGCATTAATTCGTATCATTCGCTATCTCAAAGGCACCATGTTTCATGGTCTTCATTATTCCGCCCGCTCCTCTCTCCAGCTTCGTGCTTTTTCCGATGCTGATTGGGCTGGAGATCCTACTGACCGCCGGTCTACTACTGGGTTCTGCTTTTTTCTGGGTGATTCTCTTATTTCTTGGCGCAGCAAGAAACAATCTCTTACTGCTCGTTCTAGTACCGAAGCCGAATACCGTGCCCTTGCTGATACTACTCAGGAACTTCTCTGGCTTCGTTGGCTTCTTACTGATCTGGGTGTTCCCTCCTCTGGTGCTACTGACCTTTTTTGTGACAATCATAGTGCTCTTCAAATTGCTCACAATGATGTTTTTCATGATCGCACCAAACATATTGAGATTGATTGTCATTTCATTCGCCAGCATGTTACCTGTGGTACTGTCCATCTTCTCCCTATTGCTTCCGTCGATCAACCCGCTGATATCTTCACTAAAGCTCATCCTCCTAGCTGCTTCAATGATCTTGTTTCCAAACTCAACTTGGTTGATGCTTTCCCTCCTTGAGTTTGCGGGGGGCTGTTAGTATATTATTATACTTTGTATATTATTATAGCATTGTTTATTATTCTTTAGCATTGTATACGTTAGTTGTTATTATTATGTTTGTTAGCTTTAAGCTTTAGCTTTATACTTTCGGCTAGCTTTAGCCTTTCGGTGCCTCGCGTCTCGCATGCCTCGCATCTAATGACAGGCTATAAGAAGAGAGCTAAGCTCCCTTTGTAAAAGTACAACAAAATTTAATATACACACCTCATTTTACAATGGAGATACTGCTGTGACCCCTGCTGTGCCAAAAACGGCACAGATTCGCTATTTTTTTCCCCTTCAGTTTGATGTTAATAGTTGTATTGAAAATAAAGTGTAATGTTTTTGTTTATTATATTGGAGTTAAACTAATATAAAAAAAAAGTTAATATAATATAATTTTATGTTCATATATATATATATATATATATGCATATATATAAATAAATGTGAAGTATCAATAAATTCTAAATGTGATCTTATAAACTATTTAATTTTTTTTTTTAAATATGAATTCAAGGATCCCATTAAAGTGGAGATTATATAAAAAGGTAGTTACTTACACGTTTGAATTTAATTTTTTAGGAATAAAAGTAAGTTTTTCAAAATGTGAAATTACACATTTAAGCAATCTGTACTATAGAGGTTTTGAATTTTCTTATTGTGAAGCAAATTTTACATTACGAATAAGAACGTAATACTCTAATATAACACAATAAAAAACTACTTAATGTACTTTTTTTTTTTTAAACATAACACTTCAATCAATGTAATTTCAAATGTAGCACTCTAATGTAACACACCCCAATGTAACACACAAAAATATTAAAAAATTCCTTAGTAACGTTTCCCAAAAGTAACCTTCACAATTTGAAATTATATATTTGTTCAAAACTTACCAAGTAATTTTTATACTCCTTTTAGAATGGTTCGAACTATCTCACATCCTTTTGGAATGATTTGAAGAATTTCACATCCTTTTTTAGTGTTACGTTTAGGAAAAGTATATTAAAAAGTTTTTACTTGTTGGAGTATTACATTGGAGTGTTATGTGTTACATTGGAGTATTACACTAAGGAATTTGTTTATGTGTTACATTGGAATGTTACACTAATGAGTTTTTATTTTTAGTGTTATATTGAAGTGTTATGTTTGGGAAAAGTACACTGAGAAATTTTTTTATATATTACATTAAAGTGTTACGTTTGAGGGTTACATTAGAGTGTTACAGTTTGAAATTATATATTTGTCCAAAATTTACTAAGGAGTTTTTGTACTTTCTTTTAAAATGTTTGAAGAAGCTCACATTCTTTTGGAATGTTTGAAAAATCTTATATTTCAAGTCATTTTTGTATTTTTTTTGAAATGTTTGAAGAATTTCACATTTCAAAGTCATTTCAAGTAAAAAAGATTCTCATATAAAAATTCATCAAAAAATTGATTTCCACAGATTGTGTATCTTACCATTTTAGCACAAAAATAAATAAATAAATAATAGAAATATAGGTATAACTGTAAATCTAATTTTTAAATAATACATTAAATTTACTTTTTCAAAATCAATGCGACTAATTGCTTTATAAAAAAATCATTGAAATTAAACGAATGACCATTATAATTTTCCTATAAATAAACTAAATTAAATCATCATTCATATTAATTTAACAACAATGATTCATCCCATTAAAACCATCACCACTAATAGCACTAATGCATTAAAAAAGTAAAAAAAAAAAAAAAAAACAACTCCAAGACCAAAACATCACATCATTAATGACAGGACCCACTGCCACCTAATTAGTGGGAGCACTAATTAGTGCTCCCAAGCATTTTTCTTAATTTAAGGTTATTTTAATTCACGGATGTTATGATAGGGTTAAAATGTAATTTTATTTTATTTTATTTAACCTCATTTAACTGAATAAAAAAATATGTAAAATTTTTTTTTATGCCCAATATGATAGTTTTGATTTGTAATTTTTTTAGAAAAAATTATATATATAAAAACCCTTCAAGTTTGACTCCTATATAATAAAATAAATTATTAATTTTATCAATTTAAACCCTAGGTATGGGTGTAATAAAATGTAAGGGGTGTTCGTCTATCCTTTTTATTTTGGTTTGGCAAATTGCCTCCAAAATAATAAATAAATAAATGGGACAATTATCCCAAAAAATAAAATAAAATAAAATAACTCAGGATTTGGACCTTTCAACAAAATAAATCATAAGTTTTCATTTTTTTCAATTCATTCCTTAATCTTTTGATTTATTTTCAATCTAAACTATTTACTTTTTCTGTTAAGTAAAACCGAAGGAAAAAAATATTTTAGTTATTAAACTCAATATAAGTATACATAAAATGTCTAAAATATTATTTTTTATTGAGTTTAATGACTAATTTTTTTTGTTGATTTTACTTAATGAAAATAGACAAATGACTTAGATTAAAAATAAATACAAAATTTAGAGTTTAAATTGATAAAGTCGAAAGGTCATTATTTATTTTGTTATTAGACTCAAACTTTGTATACTCTGGAAAGGGAAAGCTGTCTAATTACTTATAACCTTTTGAAAAGGAAAGTAATTTTATTTTACATGTTTTTTATTCAGTTAAACAAGATTACATAAAATAAAATAAAACAAAATTTTAATCATATGCAAACCGTGAGAGCAGGATGTGATTCTCACAGTTTTAGGCACAATATCAAACGAACACACAGGTATGGTTTTAAAGCTAAAAAGGAAAGCAAGCTGTCTAATTTTTTTCGGCAGTGATTGAGGGCCCGAAATGGAGTGGCCCGAATGCCCCGAAATTCCATTATTATTTATTTTTTCAGAAAGACACAAATTCTATTATCAAACATTTTAAAAACATTTGAAATATCAAACATTTTAAAAACATTTGAAATATCATGAAAAAAGACACAAATTATTAAAAAATTATCAAACATTTGAAACGTTTGATAAACACAAATTATCATACATTTGAAATCCATAATAATTTGTGTCTCATTAGATAACTCATAAAAGACACAAATCCATAATAATTTGTGTCTCATTAAACTCAATCCATAATAAAGGACTCGAAAAGAGAGGCGAATTTGCCTCGAAAAGTAGTGGTTTTTTTTTTTTTTTTTTGTGTGTTGGTTTGGTTTTGGCTCTTTGTTTTGGAATGGTTTTTATGTGTATCCTAAAAGTTAAACCCTAATAAAAAAAACAAAAAAAAAAAAAAAAATCAAATTAACAAAGTTAAAAAAAAAAAATAAAAAAAAAAAAAAAAAAAAAAATCAACATAGCCCAACAAATAGAAAAAACAACAACAACAACAACAATTTAGCCTATGTGGATTGATAAGATGAGTGAGTTGGGTTAGACTGATTGGGTGATGAAATTGACTGATCAGTTAGACTGCTGGTTAAAATTTGTTAATTCTATAGTTTTGTATGAGTCTTTACTATATTTTTATTTCAAATCAGAAAGATTCGGAAGAAATAAAAACCTAAACCTTAAATCCTAAACTCTAAACCCACCCCTACACATAACCCATCCTTGAAAAAATAAAATAAAAATAAAATTACAACAGCCCAAGCAAATAAATAAATAAATAATAAAAACAACCAAACTAACACAACCTAACAAATAAATAAAAAATAATAAAAAAAATAACCAAACCCAACACAGTTTCAAAGAAGAAGAAAAAAAAAAAAAAACCTTCGGCCACCATTCGAGGCCTCAAACTTTTTCCTTTTTTTATATCAAACATTTAAAAACATTTGAAATATCAATGTCTCATTAGATTGATTTTGGGTTATTTTCAGAAATTCTTCTTGAAAACAGTTTCCCAAATAATTTGTGTCTTTTCAGAATATGAAAATGAAAATAAAAAGTTTATATATCATGAAAAAATGTGAAGAAAATTGTCATGAAATGTGATTGAGATTTAATTGGTGTATCATGACACAATCAATCTAATGAGACATTGATATTTCAAGTAAAATTCTAGTTATGTAATGTTACTGAAACAGAAAATAGAAACAGATTTATTTTGATATTCAATTACCCAACTGCTTCATGACCAAAAATCCTTGGAAAAACTGCAACTGTCCCCTGAATAATAATGACATGAAAGTAACAATTAGAACAAAATCATGAAAAATTGCTTTTCTATATGTATGTATTTGGGGAAGAAGAAGAAGAAGAAGAAGAGAACTTACAACATTTAATTCCCAGAAGGTAACATCAGTGTGACAAAGGGAAGTGCAGAGTATTTTAATCCGAACCTCGAAAGCTTTAGGAGGATCTACTTCTATCTCTTCTATTACTAGTGCCTCTCCTGGATTTCTACATACTGCAGCTGTTGTGTCGTGTCGTGTTGTGTTGAATCGATCGCACATGGAAAGTCAACAAATCATCAAAATTGTAATCAAACAATTTCCAAGACCAAAGTAACTGTTAAAACAAAGGAAGAAAAATATTTAACAAAAACAACTTTTCAGTTAGAAAATCAGACCTTTGCATCTTATGGGCTTTCTTGCTGTCTCTACTTGCTGTTTGCTCTCCATAACTGAGTTCTCTCTCTCTCTCTCTCTCTCTCTACATGTTTAGTATAAAAGTTCAAAAAATATATATGAACAATACTACAGACCCCGTGACGTGACGTGCCGCGGTCTCATTGGCTGAAAACAAAACAAACAAACAAAAAAATTTTTACCCAATCAGGCTCCTACACGCACGACCCCAGCACTCCCCCTGGGGTCGGAGGCATTTTCCTACATGTATAAAAAGTTGGCCTTTACGTAATTAAGTTCATCACAAATCACTCAAGTTGTTTGTTTGGCAGTAAAAATGCTAACTTAATGTATTCACATATTAAAATTTTAAATTTTTTTAATTAATTAAAAGATCTTATTAAATACGTTAAATTTGTGTAAAAAAATTGAAAAATGAAAGTAAATATATATTATTATTTTAAGTTTCTGATTTTTCATACTAGACAAACAATTTAAAAAGAAAATAATATAGCATACCATGTCATTGTAAACATAATTGTAAAACTCAAATTATGAATCCTTTTCAATCTGCCATGTAAAAGATAGTAAAACTAAGGTGTAGTTCAAAAGTAGCATGTGGTATAATTTTTCTTTCAAAAAAAAAAAGTAAAATAGTCTATTTAAATATAATTATTCTTTTTAGGGTAAATTACTGACACCCTTGAGATTTAATCCAATTACATCTTACTCCCTGATATTCTAGAAATTATATTCTCACTCCTGTGGTTAATAGTTTTGTGTGAGCGATTTTCTGATCACACTGCCCGCTTAATAATCAGCTAGAGAGCACTGGCAGAATAGATGGCTTTCGTTATCTTGCAACAGAAAGAAAAGGCTCAGGCAGTGGCTCTTCTACCTAGGGGCACTCCGACGATCAAGTCAGTATATCTCTCAAAGATAATCAAGTGCTAAACTCACTGCTTAAAGCATAAAATTGCATACCTTAGACCCACGGGGGTGCCTCTCTTTTATAGTTTATTTAATCCTAGTCCCACTAGAAGCCTGACTTCTATGGACTCCAATTCAGTACTTACTTTAGATTCTTCAAGAGATAAAGATAAACTCTCTAAGAGCTTTATTCTTATCTTGGCTAAATCTCTTCTTTATTCTAGGACTCTTGTCTCTTATCTCTTATCCTCTTATCTCGGATTCCGATATCTTCGGAAATAACCTCGGCGTCACGACCAGGACACGTGGCACCTCGGCTGACACGTCGGCGTCACCTTGCCACGTATTGGTACTCAGAAAATATATCCCCACAACTGTCCCCTAGGTTCTATTACCTCGGCATTTTGAGGTGATGGAACCTATATCATTCCGTTCTTCCAGTACGTCGGTTTTCAGTATCTCAGCCGAGATCATTATTTTGGCCGATATCCTTTTGTTGAAGAACAAGAACTTCAAGAACCCTTCCACGCGTATGAGCTGTTATACACCATAATTCAACTGTTTTTTACCATTCGTTTCTTTCTCACTGGTTCGTACCTGTGATGCGCCCGTAAGCCGTCTATTTCTCACGTGCGCCGTCTGACGTATGCGTTCTTCTAGGCGTATTGATTATTTTTTGTCACCGTTTTCATTTTTGACAAAACCTTTCCCTCTTTCTTCATTTTTCCACTTTTGCATCTGATTTCTCTTACTTTTTCTCTCTCTAAACTCTTCCTTTCGAATCCGCCATTGCTCAAGCTCCAAGCTCTACAGTTGTCTTTATTCGTCTTTCTGGTGAAGCTTTCGCTACACTGTTACTCCTGCAACCATCGTCTAACTTCGGCGAACCTTATTTCGGCTTTACTTCTTCTGGTAAGCTACTGTTCCTTTCGTTTTCAATTCTGTTGATATTCTTCATTACTTGTTGCCTTTACTGCATCTGTTGAAACTTTTAATTTGCAATTCATACACCTGAATGTGTCCTTTCATGATTTTGCCCTTGCCCATATCTTGAACATACGCATTGTTTCACTACTTCCCTGTATTTTTGTCACTAATCTTGGCCCTATATTTCTTGTATTCTTTATGCTCTTGATAAACCATCTCTGTTCTTGATTCTGAAATTCCATTCTTGCTTTCTGTTTTTTGTGTCTTTTCCAGATCTGTGCCATTGATCTTCATCTTCATAGTTTTAGGTTTGGGATTTGTTTGTAGGACCCACGATTTAGGGCAAAACTGAAACATTCCTTACAAATTTCTGTACCAGCCCAAACCTAGGTTTTTGCTGAGGTCCCATCAATAAGAAACATCTTCTTTCTGAATTTCAACCCTTCTAATTCAGGCCGATATCATGGGTGTGTGGAGACATAGGGCAGATACCCCAACCAAACTTGAGTACTTTAGGCAAGAGTTCTCCATCCCTGCTGATGTCCATCTGAGGCTGGCTGGGGATGATGACTCCATCATGCCTACAGCAAACTCCATGCCCTTTCCCATTGTAGCTTTTACTGAGTGCGGACTCCGACTCCCACTCAACATCCTTCTTCACTGTTATAAGTTGAACCCCATGCAACTGGCAATCAATTCCTATCGAGTGATCTTTGGTATTATTGCCTTAGCTAAACAGGAAAACGTTAGGATCACCCTAGTAGATATCTAGTACTGTTATACCATGTGTGCCCTTAATTTGAAAGAAAAAGGCTACATTTATTACTTTAAGCCGAGGTCTACAGAATTCAAAATCGTAGCCGACCTCCCAGACTCCAACAAGGGGACTGGAGATGACTATCTCATTACCTCGAGAAATTGGGAGTTTGCTCCAGACGAGGACATCCATCTCTACCCTCTTCCCCGATCAGTTTTAGAGGGCAAGGGTAAGAGCCCAATATTCAGCTTTGCCCGTTTCCTTTCGAAGTCTTAAATACTTTGTCTGTTTCTGACGTCTATTCTTCTTGCAGTTGTTCGTCAGCCACCGAAAAAATTTCACCAATCCTTTGTTCCCAGCAAGGATTTGAAGAAACTTCTGGACTTGCCAATCCACAAAAGGAAAGCGCCTATGCTTCTCAATTTTGTTGCATCATACAAGTCAACTTTGCACGAAGTTCCCAAAAGGAAGAAGAAAAGCCTTTCTCCACCCTCTGCAACAACTCCGTTGACTGCATCCACATCACAAACAGATCAAGGATCAACATCTGATCCAGCTGATCAGCCATCAACTTCGGCTCCATACCTAGTCCCAATATCAGAACGAAAATGTCAGCGACGACTTGTCCTTACTACCGAGATGGGTCGTCCTAAGCCTGTTGCAAAAGATCTTCTGGCCAGTATTCCATCATCGGTTGATGAGCAGCCAGCACAAACCTTTCCTCCACCTAAGCCAAAAAGAATTAAGAAGGCCCAACCAAAGGCTAAAGTTACTCAGACTGAATCTGAGGATGCTTTGTCTATATCAAGGTTGGCTGAGAGTGATAAACCTCAACCCTCTGCTGGGAAGAGGGGCTCGGAAACCCAGCCATCAGAGTCCCCAAAATCTAAAAAGTCGAGGTCTTCTTCCACTACGACTTCGGGATCGAAGAAGAGCGATGTCCCCTGGTCCCCAAAAATTACTCTGAAGGATAAGCCAGTCTTGGCTACTGACAGTGCCGACGACATCAATATCGGCGTAGCCCTCAGCACAGCTTTGCTCCTTCCCGGCGATCTTGATCGCAACACCGAGTTAAGCGAGTACGAGAATTATGCGTTGATGCTTCAACGTTCCGTTCAAGTAAGTGTTTTCTTCTTGGTAATTTTCTTCGTTCTGTTTTGTATTTAGAAAATTTTGTACTAATTTTTGCCTTGTGTTTTTTCAGGCAATCCAACATGCCTACTCCTTTTCTGTTCAGTCCTTTGAAAATCGGCAAAAGCTGGCTGACATGAAGAAGGAGTTCTCCTCTCTCCAAAAGATCAATAAGGGCCTTCAATCAAAAATGAAGAAGCTGGAGGATCAAGCCGAGGCTGCAATTAAAGCTCAGAATAATGCCGAAGAGAAGGCTGAGGCTGCTGAAGCTATCAGGAAAGTAGTTGAGTCCCAAAGAAAGGAGGCCAAGGAGAAGATGGCCCAAGTCGAGAAAGAGCTTCAAGAAGCCTTGGCCACTAAAGAGGCTGAAATAAAAGATGCTGATGAAAAGGCATATGCCCAAGGCATGGCTGACGTTACTGATGCTTATGAACAGCAAGTGAAGGAGGCATGCAACAAGGGTTTTACCCTTGGTTGGATGTCCCTTCTGAAGAAACTTAACGTCCTAGAGGACTCGCCATTAAGAAAACTGGATGCCATTCCTCTGCCATTTCCTCCAGTTTAACCTCCAAATCAAGACGTCGGTGAATCCGAATCCGAGGAAAATGATGAGGATGAGGATCAAGCCTTGGTTATAAAATCCAAGGATGCTGATGGGGCCAAGTCCCCTCCTTAGAATGAGCAAGTCCTAGACTTGACTCAGGATAAGGAAGGTGATGAGGTTCCCAAAGACGCTGGAATGCTCCTAGCTGACATCCTCCTTCTGCGGACAAGAGGTGGTTGAAGAAAACTCTGCATAAGGACCTCGGTCTTTTCCCATTTGTATTTATCCGACTTAAGGTTCCGTAGCTTCGGTCAATTGTATAATGTTGTTGTCTATTCATTATTTCTAATTTTGAGTCTTGGTTGTGTTGGGAAGATTTGGAGCAGGTTGGTTGAGCTATAGGAAACCAAGTCTAAGTTGCACAGATTTTGGCTTGTCCTCGAGGGCTGGGTTTGGACGCTCGAGCGGGGAATTACACCCATCTCAGTAGTGTCCTGTGTTAAGTGTTGGCTCGCTCGAGCGGGGGATTGGACGCTCGAGCGGGGAAGTCGGGAAGTGACGATTGCTCGAGCGAGGAGTTGGGGCGCTCGGCGGGGACTGTCTGCAAAAACTTCTGGGAGAGTGCATTCGCCGCTCGAGCGGGGAGTTTGGCTGCTCCGAGCGGAGTCTGTGAGTGGCGCTCGAGCGGAGGGGGTTTCCACGCTCGAAGCGGGGCTGACTGGTTATAAAAATCCGGAATTCCGACTTTCAAGATCATTTTTCATCTCCCTTTTTGATTTTAAAAACCCTAGGAACCGTCTTCTCCCTCTCCCACACAACCTCTCTCTAGTTTGATCTACGTAGGAGTGTAATTCTA